AGCTTGCCCTAACTTTCTGAGCTGGTAACTGGCCGGGTGCTCTAGTTATCTATTGCTGCAGAACAAATCTCAGAAAGTTAATGGCTTATAATAGCAATAATTTTATTATATCCCACAGTTTCACGGGTCAGGAATTTGGGCAGGGCTTAGCAGACACAGCTTAGCTCTGCTCCATGTGGCATCAGCTGGCTTGACTGGGGCTGAAGAATCTATTTCCAAGATAGCTCACCACGTGGCTGGCAGCTGGGCTGTTACCCAGAGTTCATAGCTCTTCTCTGTGTGAACCTCTCTATATGGCTGTTTGGGCTTCCTCATAGCATGATGGATAGGTTCCTAGAGCATGTATTCCAAAAGACAAGAGGTCGAGGCTACAACTCACTTAAGACCTTGGTCCCAGAAACTGGCATGATGTTATTTCTGTAATATTTTATTGCTTGGGAAGTCAGAGTTCTCCTAGATTCAAGAAGTAACAAAGACCCTGCCTCTCACTGGGAGAAGTATCAAGGAATTTTCAGCCATGTTTAATCTACCATACAGAGCAAAGATTAGCACACAGGTCTTAGTTACCACAACATATTGCATCTCAACTAGTATCACACCAGATGCATTTCTCAATCACTGCATTTATCTATTTGGTAGTGACTAGACTGTGAGCTCCTTGAGGGCAGGGATCATGTCTTATGCATCTTAGGTAAACAAAATCCCTATAAGAGCATCGTTTATGCTCCATAAATGCTCAAGGAAGGAACGAAAGAGAACTGAGTTCCAGTCCTGGCTCCTGCTTCTAAGTAGCTCTGTTAGTCTGAGCAGGATGCTGAACTACTCTGGGCCTTGGTCCAATCTCAGTAATATGAGGAGATGGCATCATGAGAGGATGCTTTAAGTCTCTTTTTTTTCCCCTAGCACTACCATTGTGTTAGTTAGCTCAGGCTGCTATAACAAAATATTTTAAACTGAGCAGCTTAAACAACAGACATTTATTTCTCACAGTTCTAGAGGCTGGGAAGTCCAAGATCCAGGTGCTGGCTAATTTGGTTCCTGATGAGGATGCTTCACTGCCTTGCAGATGGCCATGTTTTTCCTGTGTCCTCACATGGTGGGAAGGGAGAAGTGGGGGGAGGGAGAGAGAGAGAGAAGAGAGAGACACTAATCCCATCATGAGGGCTCCACCCTCACCACCTCATCTAAACTTTATGACACCCAAAGGCCCCACCTCCTGCTACCATCACAATGGGGGTTAAGGCGTCAACACAGGAATTTTGGGGGGACATAAGCATTTAATCCATACCAACCATTTTACTAATCTACTCAAGATAATTGTTTAAAAAATAAAGAGAGCTCAGATACAGGTCTCAAATGAGGGGAGTCCAGGAATCAAGAAATCTGAGAGAGAGGAAAGCAAAGAGTAGAGGAAATGGGATTGTTCTGCCAACAAGGACAAGGGACTCTAGAGAGAAGAGGGTGAAATGAGGTTCAGATACAAATACATAAATTACGATCCTAGTGCTTTTAATAGAAAGAAAGGAAGTTGAAAGAGACTTTTTTAAAGGTTGAAGACATTGCACCGGGGACTATTTGGCCACAGTGGGTGGCAGAATGTAGTAAATCAAAGGGAACTCCAGGTTTTGTACATGAGTGACTGGGGAATGTGAATTTATCTAACATCAACAGTAGTTCCCAACCCTGACGACACAGAGAATTAGCTGGAGAGCTTTGAAAAAATATTGATGCCTGGGACCCTCTCAAGATCACTCAATTCAGAATTTCTGTTCCAAATTATTCTGATTTAATGTTCCAGGGATGGAGCTTGGAACATTAGTATGATTTTTGGAGGCTCCCAGGTGATTCCACCGTGCAATCAGGGTTGACAATATTTACCTAGAGTTAAAGTCACTAGATTTCTGGCTGCTATGGAATCATAAAAATTGGAGGATCAAATGCCGATAGCTACCAAATAACTTCATGTATGGTTTGTGTTGTATGCAGAAAAATGACCTCCCAAAGATGTCTACAACCTAATCCTTAGAACCTATAAGTACGTTAGGTTACATGGCAGAGGGAATTAAGTTTTCAGATAAAATTAAGGTTGCGAATCAACTGACCTTAAAATGGGGGAGATTATTGTGGATTAACCAAATAGGCCCAGTGTAAACACTTGGGCCCCTAAAAAGTGGAAAAAGAGGTTAGAAGAACAGTTAGATAAATGAATTGTTCCTGACTCTGAAGATGGAGTAAGGCTGGGCACGGTGGCTCATACCTGTTATCCTAGCACTTTGAGAGGCCGAGGTGGGCAGATCACTTGAGGTCTGGAGTTCCAGACCAGCCTGGCCAACATGGTGAAACCCTGTCTCTACTTAAAATACAAAAATTAGCTGGGCGTGGTGGCGCGTGCCTGTAATCCCAGCCACTCTGGAAGCTGAGGCAGGAGAATCACTTGAACTTGGGAGGCAGAGGTTGCAATGAACCAGATTGTGCCATTGCACTCCAGCCTGCGGGACAAGAAGGAAACTCTGTCTAAGAAAAAAAAAAAAAGATGGAGGAAGATGCCACAAGTCAAACAACATGGGCAGCTTCTAGTGGATTGTCCCCTAGAGCCTCTAAAAAAGAATGTAGTCCTGTTGATATCTTGCTTTTAGCCCAATGAGAACTGCGTAGGACTTTTGACCTACATAACTGTAAGATAATACATTTATGTTGTTTCAAGCCACTGAGTTTGTGAGATTCTGTTAAAACAGCCCCAGGAAGCTAATATAGGTGGTCAGCTTGGGAAGATTTCATAGAAGAGGTAAATTTTGATAAACTTTTGAAGGGCTATTATTGGTGGAGAAAAAGATGGGGAGATAGATGTTGGAATTTGAGTCCATCAGAATTTTTTTTTTTAACATTTCAAGTCTGTGTGATACCTACCTAGAATATTTATAAGCCAAAGCTAGAGGAATAAAACAGTATTATGTAACTGTTGCTAAATTCCCCAGTGAAGTCAGAGGCAAGGCATTCTCAAGAATTTTTCTCAGTAATTTTACTTGAATTGTGTGCAACTTCACAGATTTACAGGCTGACAAAACATTTGCTTTACCTGGTTGGTTTTAAATTACTTAAGTCAGTACAGAAAGCAGACAGCATCTCCAGCTTCCATATAGCCCTCCCCTGAATGTCACCTGGAGCTTAATATTCTTACCACTCTCCTTTAATCAGATCTGTGGACTCTGCTGATCTGTTTTCATTGGATCCTTCTGAATAAAAAATAATTGGATCATGAGACACACACATACACATAGAGACAGACAGGAAAACAGACAGACACACATTGAGACAGGAGAGACAGAGCAAGAAAACCCTTCCATATGTATCTTTATTCATTAAAACATATTTATTGAGGACCTATATATGACATGAACATACGTCATGTTAGGGATCCATCAGTGAATGAGACAGGCAAGGTCCCTGTCATTACAGAGTTCACAGCCTGGTGGAGGACACAGACAAATCATTATGCAATTTATAGCAGAGTGGAAAATGTAAGTTGCTATGAGGAAATACAGAAGGGGCAACCAACTCAGTATGGGGATGGGAAGGGAAAAGTGTGTTGGGGCGGCTTTCTGGAGAAAGAGAACTTCTAGGCCACTCACTGTCAAAGTGTGGTTTTTGGATCAGCAGCATCAGCAAACCCTGGGGGATTGTATACATGGACATTCTCTGGCCCATTAAGCCACACCTAAGAATTCTAAGGATGTGGCACAGAAATCTGTGTTTCATCAAGCCCTCTAAGTGATTTAGATACGTGTAAAGTTCATCGAGAACCAGAACATCACACCTGAACTGCACATTAGAATCACTAGGGTCAATTTCCACAGAAATGCTGTGACCCCACGCCCAGAGATACTAATTTAATTGGACTGGCATAAAGCCCTGGTATCAGTACTTTTTCAAGTCTCAGGTGATTACGATGTGATTTTACTGTACAGTCAGGGTTGAGGCTGTTTCTCTAGGACAGCTGAAGCTGGGGGCTGGGACAAGGGCTGGAAGGATCTTACAGGTGGTGTGCAAAAGCCCAGAGGTCAGAGAAAGCCTGATGGAGTGAGTTTGGGGACTGTATAAGGCTACATACAACAAAACTCCATGGTTTAAAATAAGGTATGTAGATGTAAGTTCAGTTGTTCATTGTAGTACTTCTCAAACTTTAACAAGCATAGAAATCATCTGAGGATCTCATAGAAACACAGATTCTGATTTGGTAAGTAGGAGCAGGGAACTGAGGTTCTGCATTTCCATAAGCTCAGCGATGCTGATGTTGCTGGTCTGCAGACTGCACCTCACCTTAGCAAGGTTCTACTGCCCCAGCTTTCCCTGAGGGTACATGTCAGTGGATGGCAACTGCAGAAGGATGTATCTACGCATTAGTCCCAGGGCTGACATAAGGGCACCTCGTTTGGGTGAACTGCGGATGCCCATTGCTGTGTGGGCATGTTTTCATGGTAGGGAGGAAAGACGCAGCCTCGCCCAACCTCCTAGCCTGCTCTTCTGATTATTATCCATCAAGGTCGTACTGCTTGTAGCTCAGCAGTAACTCCCCCTCTTTCCCTCCCCGTCCCTCCCACGCCAATCTAGCTGAGTGCCTCCCCTGGCCAGTCCAGCCGACCAGCTCATTAAGTGACCGCCGGAGAGCTCCGTAACGCGCCAGCCAGCCAGTGAGGCGCTGGGCTAGGCGGGGGCTCTCCTGGGACCCGTCTCCCTCTTCCCACCTTCCCCCGCTGACCGCGGCGGTGCCTGCGGCAGAGCCTCCCTCTGCAGCAGCCCCTTGCACTTGGCTCGCACTTCTGGGCGCTGTCCATGGTTGCAGCAGTTTTCGGCGCGCCACGTCAGGAGGCCGCAGCAGGGCCCTGCGATTGGCGGAGGAGTCCCTCGCCATACCCCTGCACCTCCGCCCACGCGCCCCGGCCCCGGAGGCGCGTGCCAGAGAGCGTGCCCGGCGCGCCCCGAGGCTCCCGGGCGGCACACCCACTTTCCTTATTAGGGCAGAGTCGAGTGCCCAGAGCCGGCGGCCGGGCGAGGGGTGGGGCGGGGAGCCCGGGGGCCAGACGGCCGAGGGCGCAAGCACAGCCTCAGCCGCAGCCGCCTCCGAGCGGCAGGAGGGAGCAGTCGGTCGCTGCGCCCCGGCGGGCCACTTTCCCGGGACCCCGCTCCTCTTCCTTGTGCCGAGATTTTCCACTGCGCCCCTCCTAGCACCCGGGTCCCAAACCCCCAGCCACGACATGGAAGAATTTTTGCAACGCGCCAAATCTAAACTGGTAAGTTGAGTGAGCAAGGCTGTGTGTGCGCGCGCGCGTATGCTGATGGAAAGGTGGAGAGGAAAAGGTGTTGCAGCACAGGAGGAAGAAGCAACTTTGCCACGGAGTTGTCAGGGTGTGCGGGCTGTCTCCTGGAAGAAATCTCTGGAACTCTGGCTCTTAAAGCTGGCAATCTGTCTCCAGAATCCTCCCCCGCAACCAGACGAGGTGCAGAGCTGAGGGAGGTTGTGGCCTGGCTGAAGCTGGGTCGCTTCTGTCCAGCTTCGGTCCCTAAATCGGCAGTTTGCTCCTGAAAGCTAAGGGAAAAATGGGTGTGGTCTTCCTTGAGATAAAGAGCCCAGCCTTCTGCAGATGCATTGCGTGTAAGTGTAAAAGAAAAAAAAAAAAAGACTCTTAGGACTGTACTTCAGCTGGAGGTGACAAAAGTGAGGAAGTCAGAGTGCTGGGTAGGAAGGACATGTGTGGTACTGGAGAATCCACAGGATAGAGCTTGCTCCACTGCAGGAGTTAGGGACATTCTAGTGTGTCTTGTGTCTGGTTAATTCCTGTTCACATCTGTAAACTGGGGCAGAGGCAGAAGGGGAAACTCTAACTGTTGGTGTTCTGGGCTTTACCAGACCATCATTCTCCCGGGAGCAGACCTGTGTGTTAGCCCATGTTTACCGTATCACTGTCCAAACAGTGAATGGGCAACTCCACTGTGTATGTTAACAGTTGCTACACATTCTGGAACAACAGACTCTAGCAGTTTCTTAATTCCAAACTGTTTTGGCTCTCCAGCACAGCAGTAATAAATATAATGGAAATGTTTCTGTTTTGGCAGAAAAAAAAAAAGAAAAGCCCGTACTCATTTAGAAGCAATATCTTTAATGAACTGTAAAAGCACTTTTTACAGGCCTGGCATAGAAAGAAATGCATAATTTATGATGCCTTTAACCTTTAAGCCTTCATAGAAGCCAAAATACAAAGTCTGCATTAAGGTAATGTTTTAATCACAAGGCAGGATATTTGCAGGGTTCTTACTGTAACTCATTTACCCTAACACAACAAAGGGAGTACAGGAAGGGAGGGCCCAAAGTTGCCTGAACCACCATTCGGAGTGCAGACAGAAGTGTGATCCTTACAATGGTCTAACTGTAAGTATCTTGAAAAAGACCATTAAAGTTGATAAGTGCTTATATAAGAACTTTCTACCTGAAAGCTCCCAGAGAGTTGAACGTTTGTGGAGATTTCAGAGTTGAGGAAGTTTGTGATCATTTCTGTGTTGTTTATTGACCCTTTTCTTTACCAGAGCACATGGATGAAAATACTAATTTCAGAAACTCAACTACGTATTTGGCATTTCTGATAGTATACATGTTCTGTTCTTTACCTAGTAATGAAGGAGAAATGTTCAAAAATGAAAGACAATTTTGGCAACTGTGCGTGTGTGTGTGTATGAAAATGGTAATCAATGACAAATGCAGAGTTCTGGGCTGTATCTGTTTTTCACTCCCGTAACATTTCTTTATTAGTATTTTCGCAATAAACATTTAGACTGTGGGGTCTGATATGAGCAAGAGGTTTCTCTCAATTCTGAGGAGCAGTTGCTGGAATGGAAATTTCCCTATTTCCGAGTAATCAGTTGAAAGTAATCTGTAATTTATTTACCGAGTCCCTTCATTAGATGAGCAATTGCTCTACATCATTAGAAGAAAGGACAGGAAAGAGAAGCAGTTGTTTGAAATATTGTTACCAGTTTCATGTCTTAGCCAGAACAATTACTGCTTATTTTATTTTTTCTTGGAATAAGCTTCTTGCTAGAAATCATGATTAACCTTTCACATCCAGCCACAGCAAAGGTGTTTTGGTCACTTTTAGTGTCATATTTCTCCTGATAAGTTACATTTTCTAGGTAATAAGATTTTTACTTAATATATAACACTCAAATATAGTAGTAGATAACATTCTCCTTTAGAGGATAGATAACCTTTTTCTTGGAGAAAAAAAATTAAGTCAATGTCATTCACTTGTGGGAAATTTATTTATAATAAAATGGTAAGATTTGGCCGGGTGTGGTGGCTCGCACCTGTAATCCCAGCACTTTGGGAGGCCGAGGCGGGTGGATCACCTGAGGTAAGGAGTTCGAGACCAGCCTGGCCAACATGGCGAAACTTCGTCTCTACTAAAAATACAAATATTAGCTGGGCATGGTGGCGTGTGCCTGTAATCCCAGCTACTAGGGGGGCAGAGGCAGGAGAATCGCTTGAACCTGGGAGGCAGAGGTTGCAGTGAGCCGACATTGTACCATTTCATTCCAGCCTGGACAACAGAGCGAGACTCGGTCTCAAAAATAAAATAAAATAAAATAGTAAGATTTTTTAAAATTCAGCCAATCCTTTGGAAAACATTTTAAGGTGAAGAAATTTATCATGCTGATTTTTACTTAAGCCTTATTAGACCAGAATTAGAATTTAGGAGTTATGTTTTTAATGTTTTTCTTTAGAAGTTTAGCTATATGATACCTTAAAAAAACAAGCCTAATTGCTAGGTTTTTTTTCCTATTTGACTTAATTGCTTTGATATTCTGTAGGCATTATATATATTTTTTAATGGTTTGAAATAGTTAATGACTCTTCCAAAGTCCTAACAAAACCTCATCATCATTGGGGCTAGCTAATTCCAATAGGCAAAAAGAACTTTAAATTGCAAAATGGAATTGCTATTAGCCATGGATACAATCTCCAATAATCAAAATGTTGGAAAAATTGTCTTTTTTTCTGACTTGGAACATTTATTATTCATCTGTCATTGTAAGGAGAGAGAAAGCTCTGCTATTCTAGGCCAGACCCTTGGTTGAACGGAAGTCTTTGAAGGAAAAGGATATTTTGAATTTTGATCAGGTAGTTTGGAGCTGATTTCCATTGAATTGGGAGCTCACTCTCAATTCTATTTTTTGTCCCGGTCTAGTCCTGCTAGTCTTTAAACTGAGGCAGATTCACTGACATAATCCCATCCTCATTTTCCCTAAATCACCCTTTCTAATACCTTTCCTTCCCTCCTGAGAATACTCAGTATTTATCAGAAATTGCAAAAGTAAACTCCAGGTGTGGCCTCAGAGGGATCCCTCCTCCTGGGGCTCCAATGCTTCTCATGTGGGCCTGACTTTTGCCTGGTTAGTACAGGCTGGGGGCTGGAGCATATTTGTGAAAAACTTGGTTGGAGGTGGAGCACGGCTAGGGAGGTAGTTACTTCTTCCAAGCAGTCTCCGGAAATGCTCCCTTCTAGACAAACAAGGAAAGACATATATGGAATTGACATGAGGATTGTTAAAACATTAATAACAGTAGGATAAGCAATCTGAGCGCAAGCCCCCCAAGCTTGAGATGGTAATCAAAGAATGGTGCTTCCTAGTTGAAATCACTTCCCTGATGTGAGAATCCAGCCATATTTTTGGTTTGGATACTTACTACTAGAGCTAGAAATGAGAATGCAAACGTATTTTCTTTTTTCTCCTGCCCATTCAGAGTTGCAGAAATCAAATCCTATAGTTCCAGATCAGTCCTTAGGTTTTAGCCATGCTTTCTATTCTTAGTTACATCATTTCTATGGTAAGAGAAGTTGAAGGAGTGTAGGGAATGAGGGCTCCCCGCTCTATGGTGTGATTTGGGAAATGCCCCTCAACTTCACAGTGATCAGCTCAGGAGAGTATTCAGGACAAGGACAGTCTCAGGGCAGTAAATGGTCCACGTTCCCATGAAGTTTGGGCGCAGAAAATGAAGTACATGAGGAATCACCTGGGGATGGGTAGAGAGTTCTGTGGCTCTGGCTGGCAGGAAGCCAGGGTCCCCACACTGGGCCCCTGCTGCCAAGCCTCCCTCACTGCCCAGACACCCCGAGCTGATGCAAGTCAAGCAGCTGTTAACGGGTGGAGATCACTGCAGCCCACATGCCCTATGATGTAGGTCATGAGCCAGTCTTGGGTTGGGGGGGAGGTGGGGATGTTGTCAGCTGTCACCAGCAGGATACAGGGCACATCAGTGTCCCAGGAATGCTGTTTTCAACAAGAAGGTGGAGAGAGTCACTACTGCAGTCCAGGGGATGCATCTGCTACTTCAGCAGCGACAGCTGCGGACGAAGGGCTCACTTCTGCAGTAGGTATTAGTTGATATGTGGACTTCTACAGAAGAAAAATTCTGGGTGACTTGAATGTCAGCTCATAGTCTGTGATATGTGGCATAGGGACAAGAAAGCACATTCAAAACTCTAAATGAACAACTGCATTAGAGTGGTTATAGGAGATGGGGTTTTATAAAAGAAAGAAAAAGACTGCAGCATGTCTGCAGAATAATCGACTTGATTGGAAATTGAAGGAATATATTCTTCCTGATTTCCTCTTGCATAGGAAGAAGGTTGTGCATGTCAATAAAAAGGATATTTAAAGTAAATGCTTCACGCCTTTTAAAGGGCCGCTGTGGCAAGGACTAGTAATGATGAAGAAGCTGGCAGAGCTGTTTCATTTCAAGAGCTGAGCTCATTCTGGTCAGAGACCATGGGATCAGCTTCTGCCCCATTGCAAACCAGGGCAGGTGCTCTTGAGACCATGCCTCTTGCCAAAGCATTTATGAGCAGGAAACTCAGGAATCCAAAGCACTTCCATGAATGTGATACCCCTCGCTTATGGGCTGATGAGAAATGAACCCTTGATTGCTTTGGTCCTGGAGTTAGCTTCATTTCTCACTGCCAGATCGTTCAGACAAACAGCTGCGGATTGTCCCAGTCCTGGGACCTTCGGAGAAGAACCACACTTTTTTAGTGTAAACAGATCTTTGAGTGGATCAATCTGTCTCACAGGAAGAGAGGTGCTCCCTGTGATTCAGACAGCACCTTGGGCCTTGGAGGACATGGGATCAGGTGAGCAAGGTCACCCTTTAGACAGTGGTTTGGGGACTATTTTGTCAACTAAGTAAACCGCTGATGGCTTTGGTATAACCTGTTTGTTTTGATGTAACATGTATTTG